CACACAGAACGATGAGTTGATTACTTTGAAAGAAAAAGCTGATCAAGCAAAGTTTAAATGGTTCATTAGTACTGTAGATGGTGGTTTTTATATCCAGTCAGCTCTTAATACGGATTTCGTCGTCCATCAATTTGGTCCCAGTAACGATAACGGTGGTAGAATCAGTCTTTGGAACAAAGTGACACATGGCAATCAAGGCAATCTGAAGGTCAATTTCATGAGTGCCGGCAACGGATATTATTTTATTCGGTTCGTCCATTCTAACAAATGTGTTCAGGCTACTAATAATAAGGATGCGAATGGTACTTCAATCTCACAGTGGCAACAAATAGATCGCACCAATTTCTTATGGGACATTTATTGGGCATCATGAGTTCTATCACTCTTTTCGTTCGCATATTAGAGAACAGAAAAATATATTGACTTTGCCAGATTTCTCGCAAGCAACAAATAAATATGCTGCAGAGAGGCAATGAAACGTCTTGCTCATTAGGCATTCATCACTTTTTTTTTGCAAGAAGACATGTTGCTTTGTAGATTGAAGATGGATCAGCACCAGTGTGAAATCTAGCAAGAGTGGGGTGTAGGTTATGTGTTGGTTGGGTGTGGGTGTGGGTGTGGGTGTGGGTGTGGGTGTGGGTGTGGGTGTGGGTGTGGGTGTGGGTGTCAGCAAATAGAAGATCCACTCATACTCACGCCCACACCCACGCCCACACCCACACCTACACCCACACCCACACCCACACCCACACCCACACCCACACCCACACTCACCCACACCCACCCTCCGAAAGAAAGCAAACGGTAGTTGTTGAAAATACATTTTTTTTCACCTGGTGCACGACTGACCTTTCTATTTTGCAATTCTTTCGTCTTTGCATGCAATTTATTTGCTTTAACATTTTCATCGTTCTTCGATAGAAATAATTGTATGAGTTGTTTATGTGAAGAGAAATTTTGTTGCTTTTTTCAATGTATGAAATTAACTCGTGGCTTTTTTCTTTGCGTTCTTCTAGTGTATTGCTTTTTTTTAAACAAAAATCTCGTATTTACGTCGATACAACGAACGATTCTTTTCGATAATATTTATTCTGCAGGGTAATTTTGTGAGAAAGTATGAGGGTGACATATGCATACCATGATCTAAAGCTTGGTCTTGCTAAATGGGGCAGCGCAGTAAGAATGAAGAGTATCAGAATGAAGGGTTTTACATGTTGAAATGCATCTATTGCCTTCCCCAAAAGCAAATTCTGCTTTGTGTATCAAAGCAAATTCTACTAATTTATTTTCGTGCTAAACATATTTTCTCTGTAAGTTATCGAACGAAAGTAGATATAACGGGGTGAACGTCTCCTCTTGATCTAAACCCTCACTCCCATACCATAGGTAGCGAAACCACGAGGCTTCTGGGTAGGCTCAAAGTCATTCTAGATTAGACAGATAATAAAGCTAAGATAGGCTTTATGTCATGTGAAAATCTTCTATGACTATTTGATTTTCATTTTTTTATGATAGATGATGCGTCATGATAAAGACAGTCTATATTTTACCTACTCATCAGAAATCACTCGAAATCATGGAAATCACCAGAAATCAATGGCACTGTATATATAAACTTCACAGAATTTTGGACATCCGTAAAAGAAAAACAAGCATATCAACTTCTAATACAGTTTCTGTGGATTTTATCCAACGAGTAAACCTCTTCGAGTGCTAAAAAGCTTTTCGACCGAGGATAGCTTGAGGATGTAAAGCACAAAAAAATTCGAAAATCTTCTTCACAAATTTGCATCTTCTTACATTTCATTGCTTGATGCTAAAAGACCTGTTGAGTAAATATATTAGTCTATTGTCGAGTTACGGCACAGTTTTTGTGAAACTTTAAACGTGTCTCCTTTTCTTTCTGTTGATCTAGAAAATAATCTTTTGTAAATTGATAATAATTTCTTCCTTCTGGTATACGCAGTGAAATATCATAAAAACGAAGTACATGTTTTAAGAAGTCGGTCCAAATTCTTCATCCATTAGAGTCTACATCAAACCATTTCTTAAGCTGTTTAATCAGAATCGTCAAGTTTTCTTATTTTTCTTAAACAAGTTTATTAAAGGCTAATATTTTCGATCTACTATGATAATATCAGATTCAAATTTGGGGGTGTTTGCGTTTTTTTACAAATACCCAATTTTTCTCTATCTGGGAAAAAGACATCGAATTTTTATTGGTTCTTTGGCTCGCCATTCTTCTTTCTTTTGGTGCAAGTATGTGGCGTGCATTACCGGTAACGATGAGTCATGACATCATTTTTTCCCACACCAAGTTTGTTCTTATCAGTTGTGCATGCAACAAAACACGGTGTTTTTTTTTTATTGTAGAATCATTTTCATAAAAGAGAAACATGTCAAACAAAACGAATTCTGGAAATCGTGGAGGCTATAGATCCAGACCAAATAACCATGCTTCTCCAAGTCCCACACCAGCGGTTCGGCCTTCACCAACAAGTAGAATTTTTTTCTTTTTCTGAACTCAAATATGCTTTCAATTTGTGTTGATTTTTTGAAGATAGTCGACCAGAAACTCTAGCATTGACGCGTAGAGAACAATTTGTGAATGAAGAAATCAGTAAAATAATTTTGGCACTTCACAAAAACAAGCAGTTCGTTTCGCCTGTAACTGTAGAAACTCAGTTGCTAAAATCTTTCGGTGTGAACCAGTTGAGAGATCTTCGAGTCGATTTGACTCATTTGGTTCCCTTGAATAATTTGAGAAGTCGAATTAAAGCAGTGAATCTCTACACTCAAATATTTAAACAGCTGTTCAATATTTGTACGTTACATGACTTTCGACCGAAGATCGAACAATTTTTGGAGACTCAAAATTATGACGATCTTCATTTGGGTCCCCTCGAAGCCAATCCAGATGTGATCCAATTATTCAATTACAAACCAGTTAATGCAGATGATCCTGTTCCACAAGTGACCACAGGTGAAGTCGTGCAATCGTTTATCGAATTTTCGGATCGATTTAACGAAGCGCGAGAGACAATCTTTGACAATTTTATTGTTCATTTGGTTACAAAATATGAGCTACAATCAATTCATGAATTGGGTCTCTTTTGTCGTTCATTTCCATATCTGCTACAAGTTAGCTTTTTTTCTTACTCTTTTGAGGAATTCAAAACAGTTTTTCTCTTCGTTATTAGGTATCAGGAAAAGTTAGAAGAGATATGCGATCTCGTGAAACGCAAATTTTTCGAGATGCATTGGATCAAGTTGTTACAAGAACAGAAGAAAATCTAACAAGAATTCGAGAGCAAATTTCGACAGAGCAGCAGCTATCTTCATTCACCAAAAGGATGAGTCCGACGGCTGTGTTTAACCATTTGCTATCGGTCGTGGAAAAATATTTTCATATCTTGCCCTATCAATCACTGACCTATGGAACTCTGTTGCTATTGAAAAATAATGATCTACTGCAATGTCTACTTAATTTGAGTATTTTTCTGGGGACTATCGAAGAACCTGAAGCACTCAAAGAACAATTGAAGAAATTCTATGTTGATGTGGGTCCCAGTCAGACCTTACAACAATTTGAATTTCTCATGGAAACTCATCGAGAATTCACTGGTAAAAAGAAGCTGCAAGAGATCAGTAAAAATAGAAAGAAAATTAAAGCATTGACGCACCAATGGGAACAATCCAACAATCAGCTGGTACGTATTCGTGGTCCATTCGTGATTATCACGTTTACTGTTTTTCTATGATTTAGACAACTGATAACGCCGTGACTGACGTAGAAAATTTCCGAATGCAGCGTTCTCAACCGCTCGTATCTCTCGAGACTTTATGTTCCGAACTTTTCCAACATTTGCATCATTTTCGAAGCCTACTAACTGTGGAACAACTTTCCTCAGTCGAACGATCGCTTTGTGAACATCATCATACGAATAATTTCTCCGATTTATACTACGATGTAAAGGATCCAAACAATTCGATCAGTTTGCTCGATTTTCTGCTCAGATTTCGAAACCAAATCGATCCTGAAAGCGAATTGTTTATTTATGATGAGGCGGGTTGTCTATATGATCCAGAAACGTTGCGATTGTTCGTGCAACAGCTAAATATTTTTAATAGCGCAGCCAGTGAGATGATTCAAGAACATGCGTTGCGTGAAGTTCAACAACAAGCCGAAGCTGAACGTTTGTCGATCGTTGACAAAGCGATTAAACATAGATTCGGTCAATCTATCGGCTTTCGTCAAGTCAAATCGCTGCTGGAGGAAACAAATGTATCCGATTATCGTCGGCAACAGTCCATCATTCGGTAGAAACTCTCAATTTTACTTTTTGTTGATTGTTTTTCATTTTTTTTATTCTAGCTATGAAGAGTCTTTAGTGGATAAAGACACTTTAAATCGTCTAGATATTTGCCCACCATCGATGAATGTCGATGATAATAAATTATGTCAAATCATTTCTACAGCACCAGTGTTAGTTGATCTTCCGTCTTGGCTCGGGTGGAACCACTTTTTTCAACCGAAATATGGCGAGTTCAAGTCGTTCATTCAGAAAAATCAAAGCATGCTCGACGATCTTTTGTTACTAGAAACATCAACATTGGAATTGGTTCGAATTCCACTAAAAGCCAATCAAAATTCCTTTCAAGAACATTTAAAGAGAAATAATATTCGCCAAGCTGTCGCCGATTTATGTAGTATCATCGTTCAGGAAGGTTCGATCGTTCATTTTTCTTTCAACGTCTTTCAAACATTTATCGAGACTTGGCTCAACCAACTTCGCAGTTTGGCGATCCTGAAAAATGATCTCAAAATTGCATTCAGTTACATTCTGGAGTTTGTTGTCTACCTACCATCATTGATCGGTCAAACGCGATTAGTGAAAGAAATGTTTCTCGAGCCATTTGATCAAATCTTTCAAGCAGAATGTCAGACCGGACTGAATCCGCGAGCATCTCTCTGGAACTACGCCGATCGAACCCAACGAATGAAATTAGAGTACTGGGGTTATCTTTTAGAAATAAACGAATGGAAGAATGAAAGAAAATGGTCTGGAGATAACGATGAAGATGATGATCAGAAACCAATGGAAAACGTTCAACAGCCATTAGTTATTCCTAAACGAGGTAAAATCCATTATTCACTTATTTAGTCTATTTCATAACGATTCCATCACTTTTCAGTCGACCAGATAGTTCCCGAGAGTCCTAAGCCAAAATCTGGGACACAGACACCATCGAGTCCGTCTGTGAACCCTATGCAGTCTTTAACAAGAAGTATTTCACAGATGTCCACCGAGGCCTTCGAGCACATTGAATCGATTCGAAGAAATTTGGGCGCTGATAACACTTTGAACAGCACAGGACAATCAATCGTCAACAACTTACACGGTGTCTTGAAGAGAAGTCTCGAAAAACTGTCAACAGATCTTTACTCAGAAGAAGGTCATTTCGTGTTGGAATTGATTCAGAATGCAGATGATAATCACTACGAAGTGATGACACCTACATTAACTTTCTTGGTCTCTATGCAACGTATCCTCGTGTGTAACAACGAAGTGGGTTTTAGTCGGGAAAATATTTCTGCGATTTGTAACGTTGGAGCATCGACAAAAGGCAAACACAAGAAAGGTTACACTGGTCACAAAGGCATTGGATTCAAATCTGTTTTTATGATTTCGTATCAGCCAGAAATTCATTCTGGAAATTATCACATTCGATTTGATACGAAGAATGGCAAGGAACAAATGGGATACATTTTACCTATCTGGTTGAATACCTACGAAGAATCTCTTCCGGAACCTAACCGATGGACAACCTGCATTCGGTTGCCACTTCGACCAGATGTTGGAGTAGAAAATTTGATGCAGAAATTTGATAATATCGAAGGAAAAATTCTGCTGTTCTTGAATCGATTGAGAAAAATCGAAATCATCAATCAACGAGAGAATATTTTGTCGAAAAGAATCTTTTCTCGTGTCGACTATGCCGAGGGAAACATCATCGAATTACAAGAGCAGACAACTGAAGGTAATTGTTCGAAAAATCTTTGGCTAGTCGTGAAAAATTTCGTCGAAGTGCCCGAAAACATTAGAAACAAATTAGGCGATCTCAAAGGTCCTATAGATGAAACAACGATTGCCATCGCATTTCCTCTAAAAGGAATCACAGAAAATTCAACATCAACATTTCCTACACAACCGATCTTCGCGTATTTACCATTGCGTTCTTGCGGTTTTCGTTTTATTCTTCAAGCAGACTTTGAAATTCCAGCGAGTCGACAGGATCTTCGACGTGATAATCTTTGGAACGAATGGTTGAAGTCTAAAATGCCACAACTGATGTACTTAGCTTATCAACAGTTTAAACAACTGCCCGAATTGATTGCTGATTTGAATCTTATGAACGAACACTATGCTCAGCCAACTGCAATTCAAGCAATCAAATTCTTCCTGAAATTTCTTCCAGCAAGTTATGAAATCGATCCGTACTTTCAACTATTTGTTAACAGAAGTTTTGAATTACTAGCTGGAGTTGTTGAATTGCCTGTCATCAACATGAGATTGAACGGTGACAAAGAAATCATCTGGGTACCACCATCGCAGTGTGTCATCGCTAAAGATCAATTCACTCGATCAATGATCACAGAAAATTTGTTGCTCACGCATCGAAACAGTTACTATCTTCATGATGAAGTCGTGAACGAATGTAATGAAAAACTTCTTGTTGCCTTGGGTTGTCGCATCTTGAACATCGCTGATATTCTTCAACTAATCGAATCATCGTATCGATTCGTCGATCAAGAATATCCAAAAAATGAAGCAACCATCAAACAAGGTGAGAACCGTTAATTGTTATTCTTAGTTTTCATTCTTTACTCTCATTTTAGCTGCTCAATGGCTGGTTTGTGTTGGCTATTATTTTCAACAACGGGAGAAAAATGAGAACGATATGCTAAAACGCTTGAAACAAGTGAAAATATTTCCAGTGGACTCTCACAAAAATCTCGTTTCTATCGATGAATTTCAAAGTAAAACAATCCTTCTTCCATTCGCGAAAACTGACAAATTTGCCAAAAATTTGAGAATCGTTATTGAAGAAATCCCTGCCATCGATCCACGATTAATTCAGTTTGTCGAAGAACAACATCCAACTCGTTCGAAACAGTTCATTGATCTTCTGAAGAAATTAGGTAACTAAGACAAATAGTTCTATTACAAACAAACATTCTCTCTCTCGTTCTCAGGCTTTCAAGACAGGCCAAATATTCGGAATATTTATCATGAATATTGGTTACCAACTATGTCTGATCCGAAACTGTGGGCAACTAAATCGAGCGATTTACTCATGGCGTATTTCATGTGCATTTTTCAATACATGTATGCAGGCGAAGGAAACATCTCTGACATAACTCTAGATCAATTACGAAAGATTCTCTTGGTTAAAACTAGACAGAATAAATTCCTATCGCTAGGATCTGAAAAAAATTTCTTTCATTTAACAAAGACTTATGGAGCAAGATACTCCGCCGAAAATTTACCGCTCAATACCGATCAATATCATTTCATTTCCGATGATTATTTTCGAGATTATCGAGAAGAAGAGATCTTCACCAAGCCACACTTCAGACAAAGATTTCCTCAGTTTCTTTTGGATCTGAAAATTAATGATTTCTTCCAGATTGAATCAAAAGATATACGTGAGTACTCGATGTTTCAAGATGTTCGAACGAATTTTCGATATCTTATTCTTCATCATTTAGCGTTCGCAGAAGTTGATCAAGTGAGAAACACAAAATGGGCGTCATATACAAATGATCTAACAAATCGATTGCACGATTCGTTTATTATCAGAGATTATATTTGCGAAGAGTTTGAAGCCTTATTCTCATCCAATCCAGATTATCAGCTGTGCGTCAAACTGCTCGACTATTTGAACAGTAACTATTCAGAAATGCAGAACTTTGTGACAGCATCTGTGATAAGATCCCGATTGTTGAAGCAGCCTCAACCAAGACCTGAACTAGGACTACCCTCTTCATTTTTACTCTTATTATGGAATCAAGTTTGGATACCCGTAGGGGAAGGAAAATTGATGAAACCAGGCGAAGTGTATTTGCTGAGTCAATCTCAAGACGTACTGCGTCGTTATGTTCCACACATTGATTCTAGTCAAATATCTTTGCGAAAGGATAGTCCTCTGATTGATATTTTGGGTATACGGCAAGAAATTCCAGCGAGAATTCTTTTCAACTTATTAATTAAATGGTCATGTGATCTTGACGAAGAATCTGTGAATAAGTTGATTCAATCGACACATCCATCGGAAGTGTAAGTTGAAAAATCAAGACTCGATACAAATCAGAGCGAGTTCTTTCTATTTCAGAATTCCATGTCCATACGACGATACATTCAAAAAATCTTGCGAGGAACCACTCGATAATATTCGTCAAATTTATAAGTTTCTCGCTGATGATGAAGAAGTTTGTGGACTGTTGTATCGATTTCGTTCTTGGCCATTGGTTTATCTGCCGACAACGGCGAATAAAGGAGATTTTGTCTTTGCTCGAGATGTATATTGGCAAGAATTTTCTTCGGACATTTCTATTTCTGAGCCTGCAAACAATTTGAAAATCCGTTCTGCCATTGGAAAATACTACAAGAATTCAACATCATTCGAACGCTTATTCATCGAGCTTCTTGGTGTTGAAATCCAATCAAACATCGATGACTACATTCCCTTAGTATCCACCATCGAAAGTATTGATCAACGTTGGATTCTTATATCGATTCTCGTTCAATTGGCAATCAAAAATAAGCAAGCAAATGACCTTCGAGGTAAGTTAACGGATTGATTTGAGCACATCGAACTTGAGAACAAATTCAATTCTAGTGAAATGTCATAACATTGCGTTCATTCCATGCTCAAGTTCAACTAAACCGTTAGCAAAATATACCGATGATCAATTGTTTTTTCCGAACGATCCTGATTTAGCTAAACTATTCGCAGATGTTGTTACGTTAGTCAAATTACCATGTAAGTAATCCAATTCGACCATTTCAGTCGCGTCGTAATTTGTACATTTCTTTTTCAGCTTCAGAGACAACAGTGAACATCGAGCAGTTCTGTTCGATTTTCAAAATAAAAAATCTCACTGAAGTGATTCGAACAGAAGTTAGAGTAAATAACGAAGAAAAGTCAATGATGATCTCTGACTTTTACGAGAAATCCATTGATCTTATCCAGGATTATTTATTCAGCAAGAATCTCATCGACCAAGATCGATCGAAGCAATTGGCTGAAATGTTTAGCAAGATTCGTTTCCTACGTGTTGATAGTATCCGACTCATTCATTGGTATGGAGATACGAATCGTGAATTACCAGCAACACTATCTTCTCGTGACGCTTACATAGATGAACAATCAGCAAAATTTTACATATTAAAAAATTTCGAGAACTCTGAAATGCGTTACATTCGAACGATGGCAGAATTTTTGGTTGACAATGCAGATGGACAATCAAAGTTAATCAGTTTTATCGAGGAACTCGTCCGTTCGTATCAGAGAGATCCGAAACAAGGCTTGAATGCTTATCGAATCGCATTGAAAAACTCATACGAACCCAAATGGTGCACTCCAAAAGATATTGTAGAAGAGCAACAAGTCGAGAAGAAACAACAAGAACCAAAGAAACCTATTGAAATTAGCGAGGAAGAAATCAGAGCTCTTGCTGCTGAAGAATCGATAGGACCAACACCGGTGGAGAAAACATCAGGGAACACAACAAAACAAGTCTCGAAAACGAGTCAACTGCTGCAATTACCTTCAGAAGGAGGAGATAGGAACGCTCATGGGAACTCGAATCCAACGGAAGGAAAAGTTTCAAGCGAAAATTTCATTCTGCATTCGCAGAATTCACCGAAGCCACCGAGTGCTCAGCACGAGAAGTCAGAGACTGATGAAAATACTGTAAACCCAAATCCAAAGCCAGCACTAGAACACTTACCGCCACGATCAATGCCGGATTCGATGCCACTACCGAGAAATGATTTAACGGAAAAAGTCCAAAGCATCGTCATTAAGAATCTGAATGATTTGGATTTTTCACTATTCGCATCGACGACAAACAAAGCCATCAGCATTCCAAATTTTGATACAGACGGTCACGCTGGTCGTGTCGGCGAACAAATTGTTTTTCAAGTATTGAAACGTGAATATCCGACAGCCAAAGTGACTTGGGAGAATGAAATAACGGAATCGATGAGCCCCTATGATATTTGCATTGAACACGAGAATGGTGAAAAAGAATTCATCGAAGTAAAAACAACGAGACTTCAGAACGAAAATTCTTTCTTTGTCTCCGGTCAGGAAGTGAAATTTTTCTTGGATCATCCAGAAAATTCGAGTATCTACCGGGTTTATCACGCTGACCCGATTGAATCTTCAACAATCACCCAGATCAATCGAATTAAAAACAATTTAGATACACAACATTTAAAGCTCGTTATGACACTTTTTTCCAAACCAAACCAATCCAGTTAAGGAAGATTTTCATTCGAACAGAATGAATAATTTCGATCATTTTTATTTTATGAAAACGCTTTCAATAAATTTTACTTTGTTTGATCGATTATTTCATTTATAAAAACTCGAACACTAGAAGACATCTCTTTTACTCTTTAATACCATTTTCAATCAATACGACTTTATGCAGAATCTTCGAATCTATTACGACAGGCGAACTGTTGGAATCTAAGTTTAGTAAATCCGTTTCTGTATACCTAATCATAGAAAAACAGTATAAGTCGAAGAATAATGAAATATCACAGAAAAATAGAACGTACATTATTTTTACTATCACTGCATATATCAGGAGATAATTTCAAAAATCTATATAATCATAGGCAATGTTCAGAAAAATATTGTTTATTCAATTTCAAAACTAGAATTATGCTGGTATCCATGACTACGCAGTTTTTTATCAACATTAGATCTTACTCGAAATAACGATTAATTCCATCTACAAATAGATGGTTTATGACTGTGTATTTTTGTCTGTAAGAGTATCGAAAATTAAAATGTACTATTTAAAGCATCAATTGTGCAGACAACACAAATTATACAAAATACGATTTTTTTCAATGTATATTCACCAATTTTCTTCTCTCAAACTGAACCATCAGCATTGCTTGCTATTGTTTCTAATGGTGCTACTCGGTTATTGAATAGTCCATTTCGTTTTAATCGAATAAGAAGAGGAAAAATCATATTTACCAATAAGGGTACAGTGAATAAATAGACTTTCGTTAGTCCACTAATCAATCCAGTCATTGTTGTTATTATATATACAACATTTTCTCGATGGACATATGTTGCTGAACATTCTTCGGGTTGACATTCATTAAAATAATCTTCATAAGAGGTCTAATTATTCCATTGTTCAATCATCAAATTTGAAATTATTTCTTTTAGAGTTGTGTTTACTCCATATACTGAACTCGAATTTGATAGAGAAGAACTATTGATTGATAATTTTAGCGACTTTATTAATTCTTGTAGACAAAGATCATCATACAAACAACGCAAATTACTTTGTAATAAAGCCTCAACTAAATAACAACCAACGTAAACGCCTACAGAAAAAAAACAAGAACAGAAAATTCATCATTTTGACTTAATTTTATTTAAAATTTACCTGGGACAGGAAAAAGTCTAGTAGATCCATCCAAATCATAAACAATTGATTGTTGAATACAATATGGATTTTCTTGACAATCACAATTTATTACACTTAAACTTGAATTATATGCTTGATCTCTTCGATCATAAATATATTCATAAACATAATTCTCTTATTCAGCGGCGGCGCGAGCGGGGGGGGGGGGGAATGGGAGAGTACCCTCTCTGCTTTTGACAATATCAGTGATATTTTCACCCATTTTGAACTTTGCTTTCTCCCATTTTAGGTTTTGGTTTCTCGCATTTTGAGAAGCGCTTTGTCTCATTTTGGTCTATAGTTTCTCCCACCTTCGGCTGAAAAACTAGCTGCTGAGGTACAAAAGTCTCCTGAAAACCCAGTTGAAGACCTTTTTTTTGCTCTTCAGTTTTGAATTTTTGGAAAATTTGGGTAACCTGTACAGAAAATTTTCCGAAAAACAGATAAACATTCGAGATGCGAAAAATTTTTTTTCTCTTTCTCCCGTTTTGAGATTATCCCGCCCCCTCTGCCTGCAGTTCTTCGCGCCGCCACTGCTCTTACTTATGATAATATTGTGGATAGAGAGTTAAAATTGAATCTGGTGATAATGCTGATATTAACATATTTGATGATGACATATTATTAATTAAATAAAGGGAACTTAGAAATGAACGAGTGGTGTTTTTAATGAATTGATCAATTATTTGAGATATTTCAGTATCAAATCGGTGTTGTGAAACAAGATTTGGTGTTATATATGTTGTGAAATTGAATGTCAATAATCCTATGTTCGCTGCTTAATTTGATAATTGACAGAATGAAGAGACTAATTGAAATAATAGACTAACTAATTAAATTTTTTGATTCGAATATAATCATCGCTATTTCGAATTGTTATTCAGATCAACCTTGAATACACAATGAGTTTTGGCTATAAAAATGGTAAATCTGAATGAAAATAATGTCGAGGCCTGAAAATTGTGATATGTTGTAATCGAGGACAAAGATTAATTAGAAACTGTGATTCTGTCTTAATGTACATCCTAAAATATTTATTCTGTTGATCTTAGTTATGAGTTGAAATGGAATGATCTATAATTAATACTGAATGTGTGAATATTACTAATTCGAATATCTTCGAAAAAGGACCATTATAATAATCGATGGATAGTTTAGTAAGTTGTTTCACAGGTACAATGCAAAGAAGAATGTCAGAAAGAAAATATTCACTTTTATTTAAATAGCAGAGAGAGAGAGTTCATTCATATTTTTGTGAAACATGATCTAAAAGGAGTATTGAAATGTATAGGGTACAAACCTGTTCCCATTCCCACTCACACACAGACCGTGCCAAACAGTTTTCCTTCATTTGTTTTACATAAAAAATAAACATAATCTTGGATGCAGATTAATAAAATGGTGAGATGAAAATGTGTAAATACGTAACTCCATAAGTATATCTGATACATATAAATAATTGCAACATCAAACTTTCATTATCACTTACAAACGATTTTCACGAATGTCTTTATGAAACCATTTTTCTATTTGGCAATTTGAAGATCGACGCATGAAAAGTTAATCATTGAACAAGGCATAGGAAAAGAAGAGGGTGTGAGTGTGGGGTATGGGAGGTGTGGGTGTGTGTGGGTGTGGGGTGTAGGTGTGGGTGTGGGTGTGGGTGTGGGGTGTGTGTGGGTGAGGGTGAAAAAGAAGAGAAAAACCACACCCGCACACCCACACCCGCATCCACAGCCACACCCACACCACACCCACACCCACACCCACACCCACACCCACACCCACACACCCACACCCTATACATCCTTTATAGTCAATAATATTCCGATAGATTGCCATTGTCAATTGTTTCAAATAGGGACACGAAATCTAAAATGAATAAATTAAATGAAATTTGAAATTAAGAAACATTATTTACCGATCTTATTTGAGATAATATATCAAAATCGCGTACACAAACATACAGAATGCTTACAGCGAATGAATAGAGTTGCGAGCCCAATTGATTTAGTAAACGGACGCAATGCTCGAATCAATGTAATGTTATTCGGATATGAGTCAGTTGAATTGATTGAGCGAAAAACAACTCGTCATCATTAAATGCATCTCGTAAAATATAATCATCATCAAGTTCGAACGATACAATAGAACGTATATATGATGAACAAAGAAAAGTAGATAAGATTTGAGCACGAATATACTTATGTAGAAGAATTAATTGAGGTATAATTGAGAAGAGAGGTTTGCGGCGTAACGTACTGTAAAGATTGATACCTAATAAAAAAAAAATATGTATATATGAGTGCTACAATATAATACTTTTCAATCTAGACTCTTGCTTGCAGATAATAATGATTTGACAAAAAAGACCTTTCCATATTTTTCTCAACTATCATTTTTGTGAAAGAAGCTTTGGTATGTCAAAACAGAGATAGGATGATGCGGTAAGTTTTGCACTAAGTAGAAATTTTCTATACGAATGTAGTGTAGAGATTTCTTTTACATAAAATATTGGCAAGAAGAGATTTTTAAATTCTCAAATTATAAAATTTCTCTCACTTTCTAAGTAGCAAGTGAACTAAAGTGATATTTAAACACAGCTTAAAAAATACACTTAATAATAATTTACTTAATGTATAAGGTGTGCCTGTTTCATGATATTGTCTACCAATAGTTATTTTCAAATGTGTCAAATTTAAAAGAGTTCCATTACAGTTTTGTTCAGCAAAATTGGCAAGATCGCGAATATGTAGAATGTCGAATGTCAATGATTGAATCTGATTGCTGATACGAGACATGACATGTGAATAAGACCGTTTAAAACGTAATTTATGGGACGATTTAAAATAATCAAAAGTTAAATCGATTGAATGACATTTATCAAGTGCAAGTTGTTCCAAACGATTATTACCAATATCAATAATAGAACAAAGCAATAACAGTCGAGGTTTAATTTTATTCACAATAGCTAAAATTAACTCGTCAGGTAAATCGAGTAGTTGAACAACGTCTTCTGTGCAAAAGAATCAAAAAATAAATGATATTGTAAAATAGATACATACTCATATTTGACAAACACTTCATGTTGATAGAATGTGTCTCTTTGAGAATAGAACCTACGTATATATATATGAAGAGTTATGCTTGATGGACATTGTCCAAATGAAGACCAATCATTGATGAACAATTATTTTAACAAAGGATGTTTTATACAAAGAAATATGCAGGTGAACCAATCAGATGAAGCTATATGTTAGGCGCTTTTCGCTGTGGGTGTGAGTCCTTCTTCTTTTAATCTTCACGTACACTCACGCGCCACCCCCACACCGACACCCGCAGTCGCACGCCACGTCCAGCTCACCTCACACCCACATCCACAATTACCCATAGCCAGCCATATCCACACCCACATCCTTGAAGCTGAATCACGTATATATATCAAAATAAACTATCTCATCAAAAATTACCTAGTAGATATCACACTAGTAAATAGACAAGGAAGTCGATCAAATACATTCACATTCTATGCAAATTATGTAAAATCAATTCAATCGATTAATCAATGAATTAGTATCGATAATTCATGTTACAGAAAATCAGTGTGAGTGTTGATGTGAGCATGGCAGAGTAAGAAATTCAAATCCTTGCACTCGCGCCACACATCCGCACCTATACTCACAGCCACAGATAGCGTGTACCATTCACTACAACGTTGCAATTCTCGGGTTTGTTCTCTCATTAGATACTCTTTACACGACGTTCGTTTCTTACTGGTACCACAAGGGGTGACCTGATCTAATACTCAAGTGAAAAGGGTGTGGATGTACGACGTCAAGTGTGAATGTGAGACTTTCATCACAATTACTCAAATCCACCGTGGAAATTCAGATAAAAAAAGGTGATCATATGCCGGATATTCATTTCAAAGATGGTAGATATATATTATATAATGATAGAACATAGAAACACGGTAGAAGACCATTAACAAATGAAAAAAAAAAGAATGGATAGAAAAAAATGGGCGACCATTACCACAAGATAAAAAGTGTAGGATATTGGCATCTTATTTTTACTTAGACATTTGAAATACTTTCTTTTTGTTAAAGCAAATGGTACTATTACTCTATAATTTCAAAAAACGTTTCTGAAGGTGATCTTGCTCAAGGATCTCATGATATGTCTTATGTATGGGAAATGTCATTCGTTAGTGACGTGACTTCAAAAATAAAAATGTGTACGTTCCTGAATAATAAGGTTTCCTAGAGATATTTTTTTGTACGTCATACACATATTAAGTTACTCTCGATGGACTGAAAAAATCAGCTTTAAAGCATTGAATGGATAACTATATTTAATACATAAATATGACAAGAAAAAATACAGTCGTAAACGAAAATGTATCAATAATTGATACTTTACTCATTTTTACATTGAGAGATTTCATATCGTCTTCTCAATGAAAATGAATCAGGACTTTATTTCACAAGAATAAAACTATTTTTCTTTCAAAACCTTATCAAGTTTCTTAGCGTACAGAAAGTCTGTTCGTTTATACAATAGTAAAATTCTCGTACGAAGCAAAATTCACTTGCATAGAAGCATGGCACACATCATGCTACAACTGGCTACACATGCTGATTCAGCGTCATTTGACCTACGTATTGATTGTATTTTATTTTTCTCGGTAGTTGAAAAAATCTATCGTTGATAGTCAACAAAGTGCGCATCTCACGTAAAGAAAACGTACACTACTATTCCAAGTCGGTGAACTACAATTTATGAAAATGGTATAGAATACAAAGACAGTTTTAGATGACCCATCGGATAAGTGTATTGCTGCTATTTGACCTTCTACATAGCCTTTCTTACATCAAGAATATGTCCCTTACATTGACTTTGAATTATATTTTTCAACCATTTCATGCTAAGACTCAGTTTCACAAGATGCAAGAGTATCTTCATATCGTTCGTTGAAAGAAAGCGCTTTGCTGTGGTTTGTATTTATGTATTTTTCTTATATATGTTTTTTTTACCATCGATTGTTCCAACAATCAAAGTTCTCGTAAAATCCGTCAGTTTCGAGAAGAAACAAAGAACGAAATATTGTTGCTTTGGCAGTATACACAATACGAATGTGTCCATATGTGAATTGTCTCTGATAGTTTCGACAAAATTTGACAAATATTTTTCAGTCACGTTGAAGATTGACAAAATTCTAGAGATCTACTAGTAGAATCAAGCAGTTCTGAACTGTATTTTACGAGAGATAAAGAAACGATATAAATTATAGCCAAAACGCATGTTTTCGGTTTTGTTTTACAAGTTAAAATGGACTGATTTCAATATCAATCCTATATCATTCCTCTACGTATTGGTAGTCGACTATATCGATGCCCAAATCGCTATGCGACCTACAACGTACAATTGTGATTTCATTATGATTCCATCTAGAGGAAATATCGACAAGAGATTCAGATATTCAGAAAATACTGAACATGTTTTATGGACTACTATTTTGAAATAAAGATGTAACTGAATCAAATAATCGACCACGTTTGGTCTATAATTATTTCTACATATTTGTTTTGATTTGTATCAGCGTTTGCATCGTTTTAAAATTTCTATAAAGATCAGTGCATTTCGAAATTTAATGAATTGTGCAACAGACAGACTAAACTTTTTAACTATAAAAATATTTATGCCGATGAGCCTTAATTCTATTTATGTACGAAAAACAAAAATGCTTTAGTTTCTGATCAATAGAAAAATAGATATTCTGATAAGAAACTTTACTACAGGTGTGTAATAACTATAAAATGCTTCAATATTTCTAAGGACCGCAGAAGAAAACGAAATTTATCTTATTTGCTGAAAAAAAAAACACCAATTCCTGTAAACCTCGAAAACACGACTGTTTACCGATTGTTATTGGATAAATTGAGAATTTTTTTTTGTAAGTATTTCTTATCGAACTCAATTTCTTAATAGTTGTATATTCACTTTTCGAAATATCTTCGTCATTATTTTTGGTACTTTTTCGACTTTAATCTGAATTCAATTTTAGATTGAAATTGCTACAACGTTTGTTTAACAATCAGTTACTAAATTCGAACGTTATATCAAAATTTGCTTAACATTTTCCAAAGCAATAGTCGAAAAAAAAAACTAATATCGACGATTTACGATGTGAGATAGCACTCCTGAAATGAGCATGTCTATGACTGATGGCATATATAAAATCAATTCAACGATTCATTTTCTTTCATCTAGATTCGATGTGACAATCGTCTAATGTTTCACTACAGAAAGTTTTTACTGATATTGAAAACAATGCATGAAAGTCTTTCTCATTCTTATAGTAACTTCATGCTGATTGGATTCTGCTTCTTCGAAATGCTTTCGATCAGAGCAACGTTCGCATCTACAATGATGCATATATTAGATCTGTTCAATACCTTTTTTCAAGACAAACACCGCTATTCTCACTCAGATTTAGTTTAGATCATGCAATCTGTAAGCATCGTGTACGAGAAAAGCACACCATATCACAAAATATTCATCGTTCGAAACATAAATTTCAGTCTTTTAATATGTTTGCACCAAAACTGAAGAAAATACTTTGAAATATACAAGTTTTATTCTGAATTAAATTATGAATACAAGTTTATTAGAATTTCTCTGCTACATCGATGAAAGTCATTGAAAAAATTACCGAAAAAGATTGTGTTTGAGATATATATTCAAAGAACAGGAGGTAGAAAATCACAAGTCTTCATGGGCATCGCTGTGTCTCTCGTTCAATTGTTGGTAATAGCCATGCACCATAGCTAATTTTTCACTATTTTCCGATTCATCTTGAAAAGTTTTCGCCATTTCCATTGATCGTCGAACCATCGTATTTACTTTGCGTTGACTATAACCTAATGTCTCTCGATCGTCATCCGACACTTTCATGTCAGCTAGTTTGTCCTTCATCGCTTTCGCTTGAGCGGCTAGCGATTGTGATAGATCAAATGCGTCCTTCACTCGCTGTTCTCGTAATAATTCCGTGACTTCTCTTTCATGTCGTTGGATTTTTTGTAATTCGACCAGACGTTGTACAATCTCATTCAACTCATTCAATTCTTTATCATCTCGACTCAAGGAAAATAGGAGTGTTTTCGAGGCAACTAATTTCAATATTCGATCGGTAACATCAGTCATCCATAATTCGACAATCATGAAATCGATTTCAGATTTTTCATGTAATTCTTTTGTTATTTTCACTTTCGTTTCTAATAGAATATTCATCATATCATTGTAACGAAGATTTCCGATAGGTATTATTTGTTGTTGTTCTTCTTGTTCTTTTATGTCGTAGCCGTAGATATCAATAATTTGTGTATCATACTTGGTCGTCACTTTCAAATAAGCATCAATACCCATGAGATTTTGAAATCCTTGATAAGCAATACCGACAACTTTCTCCATACTTTCAGCACCTTTAATGAAAAAATAATCACCTGAACCATAATCAGCTATATTTGTCATTAATTTTTCATCGAAATCATATCCAATACCAAAGGAACAAATTGTGACATCATATGTATTTTTGATAGTTGTTATTTCTTTCAACAAAAGATTATGATCAGTTATACCTTCATTGATTTGTCCATCCGACAAGATGAAAAATCGCTTGACACTAGATCGATCGGAATATTTTTTCAATAATGGAATTACTTGATCGAGACCTGCCATCAAATTAGTACCACCAGATGGATATAGTGCATGCAAAGCCTTTAACATAGCTTGTTGATCATGAGCATTTTCGAAGACAACCGATGAAACAGAATTATATTGAACTAAATGTAGTTTATCATCAGTATTCATATTTCGAATAATATGTTCGATAGCGGAGATGGCATTATTCCATTTGTTTGCTCCGGCCATACTACCCGATGAATCCAGAACGATGAACAATTCGCGTGGTAATTTCGATTGAGTACCAGTATGTGAACCTGTCTTGATTTGAATGTTCACATGTTGAGTATAAGTGGAGATTTCATGTGGAAAAAATCTTTTTTCTTGGCTAATAGATAGTTCAACAGGAAAGGAAGATGAAGCTACATTAAAGTGTAGTAGGCATACGAAGAAACACATGAATACGATAAGATTCATGTCTAATACGAATCTCATCGATATTTGATACGAATGTAAATATGTAATAATTGATCTATAGTCAAAACAGAAAAAGAAACATAAGACACTCGATCTTTATTGTTTTCCAAAATATTACTTCAGTCGACAGCTATTCAATGAAGAACGATTCAACTCAGGTAACTGAATCAAAAACTGCTTGCTATATATGATGTATTTATTTACGTATGTTTATTAATAACGAATAGGAAAAGAACAGCTCATGTTGTTCGACTGGTTTCATAAAGTGTGTTACACCATCTAAACGTGGCATTCCTACCGCTGGTCGATCACTTCACTAATTAATGTTTTGTCAGAATAGATGGAGTGTCAGTTCAGAACCCGTATCAAAAGGATATAATGTGTCTCCATCTCATTACTTCAATTGACGAAAATCACTTGAACTTGATTGAATCGAGAAACAAGCCTTCAAAATCGAGTTGAGTTCGAGATTTTTTTATCAGAGAAAACAAAATCACAATTACAGACATGATAAAACCTATTCGAAGGTATTGCCATAGAGAAAGAATGAACCATGGCAGTAGTTTACACACAAGATACTTTCTCTTCCTTATCATTCATTCATATCGCTTAGGTGATTTGCAACGACAGAAAGCCAACCAGGTAATTATATTGGCACAACCAATCATAGATGAATACAAATCAAAGTAGAATTTATAGGAGATGTCTCCCTTTTCTGAAAGAAATCGAATAGATGACTTGATAGAAAAAGAGATGACATATGAAACCTTTGCACGAGATGAATCAAACGAGTTAAGTTATATCAAGATGATGACATAATGCGACAATTAGAAATTGTTTCAGAAAGTGATGAATTTAATTCGTGCAATATCTCTTCTTCAACATTAATATTGGATTGATTTTACACTTTGTCCAAATACTTTGGTGCGTGATGATCCAAAGTTGCTTTACTTTGATCAAAACGCTATGAATCTATTAGATGGACAATAAATGTACAATACTCAAAGATTTTTTACTGTGCTAACAAGAATGAAGATGCTTCTTCTAGATTCGATTTCCGTTCAAATTATTTCACATCGACTATTTAATAATGAACGATCAAAGCCAAGATAATTATGTGTCTTCGAAGATAGATTCGACTTATGTTAATGACAAATTTCTAACCCATGTAAGTCAAGTCGTTGGAGCGATCTACGTAAATTGTTGACTAGAGCTATTTGCGATGGAAACTACGATTTAGTTTCTAACCAATAGAGGCAACATGCTAAATCAAGCAAGATTTGAAGATAATCATCAGCTGGGTATGGGTGATAGTGAGTGTAAAGTGTAAATGTGGATTCGGGTGTACATGTGAGTATCTTTTTTACCACACCCACGCCCTCAAGTAACGTTTGCGCAATGGTCCAAATGAATTTCAACGTCTCTGGATAGTTATGTGAAATATGATTCATACGTGAGTGTAGATGGATAAATTTACTCATATTTGCCCATTCAATGACATCCACAGTCACTGCATCGTGTCTTCAAGTGTCGACTGAAGTTTTTGAGTCTCTTGGTTTCTAGTTTCTTCAAATAGCAGATGAGATATTATCATCATATCACTAAAGATAAGCATTTCATATGAATCGTTATTTATTGAGTTAGAGAAAAATATATAGATTGTTAACATTTTTCTTTACTTCAGTTGTTGTTAAATAACTATATTTTGACGATTATTGCTAAAAGAAGTACTTAAGTAATACGAGAAAGTTTCATGAATTATTTTTAATAAATTTAATATGATCTAAGCAACACTAAAACACCATACTTTGATTAGATTCATTTCATAACAATAAGATGACAACATTGTAATAGTTTATAACTGAAAAGTACCACGTAGAACAAACTATAAAAGAGTATCTGCAGTACAATGTCAACTAAGCAAAATTATTTTCACTTTCTCGAAACTACACGGTCCTTCTTTAAATCAATAATTCATTATGATAAAACTGATACATAGTCAATAATCATACTAACAGCTTCTAGGAGATCAATGCTAGACATGAAACTTTTTATTAGTAGTATTTAAGCGTAAATATAGGTTAATAAAGAAGAACATAAAGCTATCCAATGGGCTGCTAAGACCCAACGACGTCCTGTGTTGCTTTCTCCAATGTATTGAATTTGATAGATTCGATTATTATCTTCGTCTGTAAATATAATACTTCCATCTTTGAGTTCGAGCAAACCAATTGGTGAACCAAACTTAGTTGGAGACGTTGAATTAATTAGAAACCCATAAACAAAATCTTCATAGTAATTGATAGGTCGATTGGTTGTTTCATTAAAAGGTATAAAAATGATGTTGGAACCAATAACAGCTTGACGATTACCTGATCCGCGCAATGCAACAAAAGCACCACTTCGATATCGTTCAGGAAATTGTTTACCCGTGTAGAAAGTCACACCGAGTGTACTAGAATGAGATTGAATAAGAACATCTGGTGTTCGTGTACGTGCAACAAGATCAGGTCGTTCACTCGAACCATTAGCTAACGTACGTCTTGGATCGATGAAATTTGGACTTAAATAAGTATATGGCCAACCGAAAAAGTCATTTTCTTTGACGTTAGTAAAAAAATCTGGTACGAGCTCATCGCCGATTTCATCTCGTTCCTGACATGTTGCATAGAGTTCTTGAGTTTTCGGATGAAATGCTAAACCAACTGCATTTCTTAGACCAGTTGCAAAAGGTTTCTGATTAGTTCCATCGAGATTAGCAACTTGAATAGAGGCCAATGGTAAAGGTTCTACGTTAATATTGGAAGCTGAACCAATGCTAATATACAGACGATCGTTTGTTGGTGGTATGACAATAGTTCGTGTCCAATGGCGTTCACCAGTATAACTCATCAATACTTCACCATTACCTGACAGTTGTCCAGTACAACCGTGCCAATTGAATCGTCTTAAAGTATATTGATCGGCAACATAGAAATATTGTCCTGAAAATGCCATTCCGAATGGTTTAGAAAGTCCATTAGTTGCATCAAAGATTGTGACACGTTTATCTGGGTAACCATCTTTATCCGTATCTAGTAAACAAGAAATGCGATTGATCTGTGATTCGCTAACAAGCATATCGTCTTCAGGTGTATACTGAAGATAACGTGGTTTTTCAACATCAGTCGTGTGTACTTTAATAATAAATCCTTTTGGAACAAATAGCTCAGGATTTGAAGGCACCGGTACAACTTTTGCATAATGCAAGACCAGCTCTGATACATTTGGAGGTGGAAGATCGGCTAGTGTGAAAAGTTTAGGCTTCGGAATAAATGTAATATTGATACAATTAATATGATGAAAATTTAGCGTAAAAAATATGTGAAGAACAAAAGTGAGAGTATATTGTCGCATTATTGGCATTGGATTTTTATCTTTTCACAGAGTAGAAATGAGAAGATAGCAAAACTTACACTGATTTATCTTGAATACGATTCTTTATCTACCATCATGCGAGAACATTATTTCTGACAATGAAAGCAGCAAAAATAAAGCCTCGAATATGTGCAAATCGAGTTTCGTCTCTTTTTTTACTTTGTATTTTGACATTTTGATTTATCTAGTCTTGATATTTATTCAAATTGTGGTTGTAGATGAATGACTTATTTAAAAGTTGACATATAGCTTTTTTATATTCTTAACAATAAATGTCGCTATAAAGACCAGCTTTACTTATTAGCCAAAATTTCGATAATAATTTTCAACCAATACTGCAATGACTGTTGTTTTACTAATGATTAACAATATTATCACATAAAATTTATTCGCTACTGGAACATTCGTCAATATTTTTAACGATACAAAACTTTCTCAATTAATACAACGATCGAAAAGGTCAATTCAATATCCATAATTTAGTTTAAAACAATGTTTGAAGAATTTTATAAAAATCATGAAACTTTCTATGAAATATCACAACCAACAGCTCGAATGCATGAGCTTATAAAGATTTAGTGCGATATTCCTTTCATGAATAGATAAGGCGCAGGTCAAGAACTTTTGAATCGGTCAATATAAGTTTTGAAAAATCAATTCGCTAGAAATGATCATTTAAAACAACTCAAGTAAAATTCTTGCTTTCCTAAGTTTCCTTTCCAAAAACAAATGAAAATAGAAGTTAAGATCCTTCATATTGTTAAAGATGAAGAGTATCTGTCTAATCAACAAGAGGCTCGTTCAGGGACTGTTTTAATCTGGGAAGCTGTAATCGACCTTTTTTCTTTTTCTTTTCTTATTATCTTCGTCTTAGGGTATGGCTAATCGTTTACTCACAGCCACAGCCACACCCTCTCCTTTCTAACAGCAGAAGTATCGTGTCTCGTCAAAAGATTGCATTCATATGCAAGCAATATTTCGAATACTTTTGGCTGCATTATGACCACGTAGATCAATATATGACAGATTAGTAAAGCCACTAGAGTATAATATGAGCCATTTTGTTGTGTTTCAATTTATTATATCGATTATTTTTTTATTTCTTTTCAATTGTAAGTAAGCAAATCATCGGCGTCGGTGCGGCTCGATTCAAACAAGGTAACAGAGTAATCATAAGAAAACATGAATTATTCCTTTTAATTCGCCTTCCATTGTTGAGTTTGTAGATTTGCTTTGTGTCTTGTAACCATACACAGTGGTGTTATGAGTTCGCTTGTATGTGCAACAAGAATCGCTCGAACATGACAAGCAACAGTATGACGACGTCGAATCTCTGTAATCAAAGAATAATGCAA